TTTGGTCAACATTCTCATTTTTAAGTATTATTCATCATTTGATCAAGGGTTGATCATTATTCCTCAAGGATTGCTCACAATTCATCAAAACTCAAAAGTTGCTAAATTAGGGTTTTGCAGGAAAAGTCAACTCAACTTTGATCAAGCATAACTTTCTCATACTTTATTAGAAATGACCCATCCAAATCTAATTTTGAATAGGATGCAATTCCCTACAAATAATATTCAACTCCCTAGTTCAAAATATGCACTCACAAGAAGTTATGAAGTTGGACATTATAGGTCATTTTGAAAAGTCAACAAAAACACCATTTTTGTCAAAGCTCCATACATGAACATGGAAGAATCAATGGAGATGAGACCAAAAGGGTTTATTAGAGGACATATTAAGTTTTCTAAAAAGTCCAAGAACACATCTCTAGGGTCAAAATTGAGGAAGTTATGCATGGGTGAAGTTGTCCTTTTTTGCAAAATTGCCAAAAGTCAAATATGCCTCAAATTGCAATTTTTGTCAAATGGGCCCAACCTTTTGTGCTTGTATTGAGTTTGTAACATGGTCCATGAATATCTGGAAAGGAGATCAAATCGTGCAAGGCTTGTTTGTACACAAAAAGATTGAGTTTTTCTTGTTTTGGAAAGATTGGATACAAGTGTGAATCAAGGATCAAATCCTCATAATTGCAAGGATTTGATGCAAACTTGGAACCCTAATTGATTCTATGATATATATTGAACAAATCCAGACCAAAAGAAAAAGGATTGGAGGCATGATAATCTGAGAAAAAAACTTGAAAAAACTCAACAAAAGTGGAAATCGGATTTCATAGTTCCAGGCTCTTTCAAGTTATTCCAAGGATACCATTCACTTGTTGGACGTCTAGGGACTCTATCCCAATCATTAGCAAGTGTTTTCGTTCCCAAAAACATACTGTAAGTACCTCACAATATCCTTGCTTTCTTAAAATTCAATATCATGATTCTGGCATTTGTAGCGTGAATTCTTTACATATTCTTGTTCATTGAAACATTTGCAAGCTAATGGTAATGATCAATTGCGTTTTTGTTAGCCATACAGAGATTTTCCATGATTAGGTTTTAGGGTTCGTTTTTAGGGATTCTGATTACAGGTACAATTGGGCCACGATTGAGGTACCATGACGCTCGTGAGGTTTTCACGAGTTGATTGGTACCATTGTTATGTGTTTATCATGTTTGCAGGGAGTTTTGGGAAATCATAGGGGCTATAGCTACAGACTTTGTCCGTAGGTAAAAGTCTGGACTTTTTCCAACGAATGAAGGAAGAAGAAAGGTGGCGTGGCAACAGACCATTCATCCATTCCAAATTTCGCACACTGGCATATGTTAATCTGTGTTTTTTTTCATATAATCGTTATTGGTTATCCCATATACAAATAAGCGTGTTGGCTCAGTTGGTCAGTGGGAGAGAGAAAAAGCCAAAGGGCCTGGGTTCGAATCCCACGTCCCCCATATTATTTCATAATATTTTCTCTTGTATAATCAGGCATGTGTACAGGTAAGGGGTCCACCATACGCCCTTAATATTCAACCACCAGATCTCCATGAGGCCAGATCTAACGCCCATCATTTGAGGTCCATGATGCACACTAGTCAACATGCAACATGGAATCTGAAGGTCAACGTGGACCCAGGCTTATTGGGCTTTTTGATACCCCCCCTTTTACTTTGATATCAGGCCCGTTTCTCTCTTTTCTTTTATATTTCTTTTATTTATTTAATTTTGATTAATTATTTTATTAACACAAAAATTAATTCTTTTTTTAACAAAAACTCATAAAAATCAATTTCATCAAATTTAGGGTTTTTATATATTTTGTCAAAATTAATTTAATTAGTTTAATTTAATTTTAGGGTAACTTTAATCTTTTTTTAAATAACTTAAAATAAATTAGAAATTAGGGTTTTGTTTAATTTAATTTTTATTTTCTTTTTCTTAAAATAACCAAAATACAAAAATAGGTCAAAATTAATTATTTTCATTAATTTAAATTAATTAGTAATTAGGTTTGTATCTATTCATTAAAACATTATTTTTTCTCAAAAATAATAAAAAACAACCAAAAATATGATTTTTCTTTTAATTATGTTTAGACGGGGTCAAAACCCTAATTTTTTCTCGTTCTTAATTTATCGCACGCGTTTATTGTTTTTGCAAATATTGATGTAACTGCTCATGGGATGTAATAGTTTAATTAGGCTTTTTCTTTTATTTATCGTTTTACGGGTTTTTGGATATGTAATTAATCCCCCTCCCCGAAGCCTTGTAATAGCGTAGCTTTATTTCTCGCATTTTAATTTTCGAAAATATTAACTGTTAGATGTATGACAATAGGATTGCATGACAAGAATGTATGTTAATTTTAAAATGGTTAGCAAACCCTAGATGTGCAAAGATAATAACTTGAAATCAAAACACTCACACATGCACACTCCTAGGGTATACTCTCACTTAGGTTTCCTTCGGTAAACGATCATTAAGTATAGGGTATTTTAGTGGTCGCTCTCTTGTCTAAACAAAGATCAAAAGTCCCGTTCAGAAATGTTGCCTCAGAAAAGTTGCCTCAGAAATGTTGCCTCGAATATGATCTTAAGACATTAGGGTTATTACTAAGACGTCCTAACATTGCTTTAGTGATTGTACGTCCCTTTAGAATTGACCCTTAGAACTCCAACTTCGGTGCTACCTACTCACTAATAGTAGGATAACACTGTCTAAAGGAAACAAGAACAAAAACATTCTTTTTTCGAGTAGGTAGATGCTAGTAGGTACTTGCTCAAAATAAAATATTTCACACTTACACTCTTTTCAAACAAAGTTTTCAAAACGACTTCGTAACACTCTTGAGGACTGATACAAGGGTTAAAACGAAGTAAAACAAAACTTTTCAAAACAAACACACACAAGAAATTTTCAAAAGATGAGCTAGTACCTAAGAGCCCGTAGAAAACTACAGATAGAAAGGGTGATAATACCTTCCCTTTCTATAATGTACCCCCCGTACTCAAAATCTCGAAAAAGGAATTTTTATGTGCTTTTGTCCTTTCCTATTGGATAAAATAAAAGTCGGTGGCGACTCTTGCTTACCGCGACATTTTGCGAACACAAACGCAAAACGCAAACCAGCATTTTCCTAAAACAATCTGATTCTGCCACCGTATCACACAACCCAATATTACAGCAATACAAAAACATCCACCAATAGCAGTCCTCAGATACTACTGAATAGAGTGGCACAACAACATGGAGACAATTTTCATAACCTCAATGATGTTAGGATATCATGTCCAACATCTTTTTCATGACAACTCCATTGCAACAAGAATTTCAACATCAAAGAACAACAACCCCGGGATAAAAGGAAGGAAAGTCCTGAAGTTATTTGATGCACCTGATCCATATGAGGAAGATGATAGTCTGCACTCCCCCTCAACCCAGGAACCATTTCTTGTCATAGAGGGATAAACCTTTCCCTCAGGTGGTGGAAAAAGAGGACCATGTAGAATAATAGACCCCTTGAGCAGTAACCACCAGTCAACCTATGGCATAAGAGTAAACTTATTAAGCATCCAGACACCACCCTTGGTAACTCAGAACACATGTCACAATTGTGTCCATAACTCATATCACAAGTCATAAAATAATGTACCAGCCATAGGATAGAACTTCTTATCTGACATCTTTGTGACAAATCTATAAAAGCAGCCTCCAAAATAATCAGCTATGTGCATTGAGCATCACCAAATTTATTCCCCTTTTTTTCCAAAACATTGAAAAGGAAGCCTTCACTATACCAGACCCAGGCACAAATTTCCCAAATCGGAACAAAACCCATGATGATGAACACTCTTATGTTGATAGAGGGCGGGAGAAACCTCTATAAATAGCTGAGCAGTTTCTTAGGAATTAACGATATTTGAAAACATAATCCTTTGGTTAAAGAGAACTTTAATTGAAGGGAAAAAAACGTCCACCTAAATCAATGTGCATCATCCAAAATAGCTTTTAACGCGTTTAATTACTTTGGTCTGTTTCTGCTGAAAAGAACCAGTCCCAATACTTGCACATGCATGGTCAAACACACTTCTTGACACGTGATTGATCAACCTCTCTTGTTCGTTTCGCACGAAACATGTTCTGAGTAATATACTGACATCCAGTCAGACATTGTCTTCTTTTAAGAACTTGACCAACACATCTTCATACACCATGTCTTCCACTGGATTATAAGTGTTCTACTTTCACTTAGTCTTAGTGATATACACCAAGATATCAGAATATCACATTTGTAACATCTCTCAATAATATAGACCCTTAGAGAGTCTTTTAACATCTACAGAGAAAAATAAATTCTCCTAGACATAATCATTAATCACCAGAGATATATGTAACCTTTTGACTCGTCCGACCTCACATGGCTAAGACCAACCATGGCTTGTCAAGATCACCAATAATATCATAGTCATAACATGTTGTTTCACATCATAACCTCGTGAGAGGCATAAGATATCTACAAGTTTAGACAACTCTCTAATATATGTACCATTTCAGCAACAATCCACAGATAACTTCATCACTCCCCATGTCATGGATAAACAATTCTCTAGTTGAAGATGAGAGTTTAAGCACCCAATGAATATTCATGAAAGACTCCAAGCTTTCATGACGAAGACCAACAATTCTACATGCTGAACACCAACTCCCTCGGTAGAGTTGGTTCTGAGTCAGATATTCTCACTCCTTGAGAATACTGTTGCACCCCAAAATTTTCCCTCCTAATTTCTTTTATTTGGCTTAGACTTTTTCATTCATCTGTATATATTCCATTAGGTTATTAACATACATTTACATTTGATAAAGTACCTTAAGATTCAAAGTTCAGTGGGCGTGCGATGTCAGGGTTTTCACATTATTTTGAGGGATATCCTTCCCATTAAAGGGTATTCAAAGTATCCCTTCATCAATGATTCTAACTGAGAAGACTGTGAACTATGGATTTGATGTTAAGTTGCTTCTTTATTCAATGTACTTCTCATAAGATTAGGATTTTTCATCTATTGTGTTTCAACTGAGTTTCCTTAGAGATGATCTTCTGTGATCCAAGTATCATTCCCATCTCCGAGGATTATTCTGGGCATATTTGTTGTGTTGGACTGAAATACAAGGATTCTTTTAATTTTGTCTTAAGATCTGATTTCTTTGAGAGACAAAGATTAATTTGAATTCTCTGACTGGTTATCATTCATTCCTGTTGCCTAAAACGTTCAAATGAATTGAAAAGACTTAAGGTTTGCAAGGCCGGAAAAGAAAGAATTTGTTTGGAATTAAAATTACAAGTTACCAAACAGAGATCATTGTTGTTTACCATCAAAGTTCCATTAAATTTTTATTCAGGTGTTTAGTTCGGTTCAGGTTGAAAGATTATTCCGAGAAAAAGGATTAATAAACTTGAATTAATCTCGAGGAAGCTTTTGTTTGAATTCAAAAGGAGTTTGAATTACAAGATTATTCAAGATATCAAGAATCATTCACAAGTAAAAAACAAGATTTAAAATGATGCTTCATTCATGAGAAATTTCTACTCTATGTTTCAAGGGAGGTTAAAGATAAATTTAATGTTATTGAGGTTTTCATTAATTTCATTCGAATTTCAGTCAAAAGTTCATCATGCTCAATCATTTCATCCATGATGTCAAAGATTCAAAAACGGTCAAAATGTTGTTCTAGTTTATTACATCATTAAAAGAGAAATTCAATTAAAAAATCATTCACATATTCAACAACAAGATTCAATCTCTGAATCAACCAATATATAATATAATTTCCCTTACATGATAGATGGGAAATTACGAGATTTACAAGTTTTGACTAAAGCCAAAAAGATACTAGCATATATTTCTCTGTAGCCTCAAGCTTTATTCAGGGTCCACTACTCATTCACTTATAGGAATACCATGTTGTCCATGTTGTGCCCTACTGCATTAAACATTAACCAGTTACAAACTTGCTAATTACATCAACTCCTACTGCATCTGCAAAAGCTCCGTTGTCATTGAGTAAATTAGGCCTGAAAAAAAATTAAACCGTGACCGTAATGTGGGAGTTAATGGAAATCCAACTACTGTGAGAAACTCTTCTGGAGTGGCTAGTAAAATAAATCCCTTCAGAACTCCACCATCTATGTCTTTTCGTCTAGATAAGCTTGCCAAGGATGTGGAGCACATTGGACCATCTGACCAACCCTTTTTGAGACAACACAAAAAGGCATTGCTTGAACTTTTAGATCAAGTTGAAGAAACAATTGGTGTTGATAGTGATATAGTTTGTGATAAAACCACTCATTCCTTTAAATCACAAGATGGTATTGCTAACGATCTCCCTGTTAGAATCAACCATCTAGCTGAAAGTGAATCACATATACCTAAGGAAGTTTTTGGTGATTTCTCCAACTCTAATTATTTGGTTTTGGAGGCATCTGAAAATTTGCAACCTGCTGGCTCATCTGCTGCTAAAGGTCCATGCAAGGTGCTTCGTCTGCTAAATAAACAAGCTGGAGAAAAGAAGAGAATCGTGAGATTAAAATGAGATCCCTAACAGAATCCATAACTAACTTTTCCTAACTGACTCTAACGAACTCTAACTACAACCAAAGAGAATATAACAGAAAAACAGAAATGGGGAGAAACAGATTCAGAATTTGCAGCCCATAACTAACTACTAACAGTCTAAACACTGCTAATTGATTTTAAAACTAACTCATAACCGTGTCTTGTTCAGAAGAGAAAATATTTGTAAACAAAAAGCTCAAAATAAAGTGGAGATAGGGGCATTCCAAAAGTCAGCGGCCAATTCAAAATGTGAAAACAAAGCTCCAAGCAGAGTCATGACAAAATGTCAGAAAAAATCAGAATCAATCCTAGCCACTGGAATCTCTAACCAATTCTTGATATCAACAACTCATGTTCAATCTTCTGTAACAAACTTCTAATAGAATTATATAACAGAAAACTCACAAGATTTATTTGATTGGGGAATTCTATGCCAGTATAGAACTCTCTCTTCACTCTTCATTTCTCAAAATCTTTCATCATATTCACCATTCTTGAATCATTCAGAAAAAATCAAAGAATAAAACTCCCATCTTCTCTCTGCACTCTCTTCATTCACCATCTCAGGACTTCAACAATCTTCATCTTCTCAGACGATCTTCAATTCCTTTTCATCTCTGCAAGCATCATCCTCCTAGCATCTTCATCCTCGCATCTTCATCATCACATATTTATCATCAATAATAATCCGCGTCTTCAAGCATCCTTATTCTTCTACAACACCTTACTGCCGCAAACGACAACACATCATACAAACAAAAAGGAAAACACAAGAGTCAGAGAAGAAGTAGAATGAAAGCAACGAAAAACCTGAGTTTTCATCTCTGGATTTCTAGTAGTGCAATCGAAGCATTGTCGGAGCGTCTCTGATAGGTAAATCATCATTTCTCTGTTGTTCTTATTGGATTTGATTGAGAAACTGAATTATAAACACGCAACTCCATTCTACACTTTGTCACGATTTATGAGATCATCACCTTGCTCTAACTTCTAATTTTCGTTAAGGTATGAAGGTAGTGATTTGTAAGCTATGAGATCGACATGGAGAAGGAAGGACTTGCGGCGAGCGTGTGGGCGTAGCCAAAATTAGAAACAAATGGAGGTGAAGTTGTGCACAACTGAAACATCAATTTTTAAACTAATACTTGATTGTAAATAATTTTCATCCCGTAAGTCGACGAAGCTTTTAAGCGTTACAATGACCACACAAGCACACTTACACGCTGATTCCCGAGCATTCTTACAATATGAACTATTCGATCAATTGTTCCAATTGGTCGTCTAGAGGCTAGTCCAGCTTTCACTTAGAAATTAGGTCATACTTTTTTTTCTTTATCATTTATGCTTGTATGAGCCACCTTGTATGGGATTTTATTGCTTCATTTGATTTACTTCTATGGATTATTTCACACATGCTCACTTCAAACCACTTAATGTAATTGAATCCAACTCTAGCATATTGGTCCATACATGCAACCTTAATACACTTTCACGATCAAAGTTCCAAACCTCGATCCAACATTGAGTGATTTTTCAAAACACTTTTTTCAAAGAAATAAGGGTTTCATTGTGGACGGTAAGCACAATCCTATTTCTCAAGGTTAATCAATGATAAGTCACGTGGCTTATATTGATTAATCATGACTCGACTAAAATATCCTTAAATAAAATGAGTTTAATTCTAAATCAATAACAGTAAGGAGTGGGAAACGTATCCCATCTCTCTTGTGAGCGCTTGAATATAAGGAACGTATCTTGATATTCATTGTTCACCTACTGTTAAAGGGTTAGACTTAAAGTCGTCTCACCCTTTCAAAATAAACACAAGAATAAATGGTACCTACCTTATCATGTCCTAAGTGTTTGTGTACAAGGAACGTCCCTTAGTATTTCAAACCCTTGTGTCTTACAAAAACAACTCAAATCATTAAACTTTCTTTTTTCCCTTGTATGACCCTCTCGAAAACCTTTTCGTAAAAAGAGTGTGTTTTAACAATTACAATACGAAATGAAGACGATAGACTTAGTCTCTCATACGAGCCAAACAAGTCGAAGTTCTAATGTTTGTAATGTCTAATACATCATTTCTTCTAAAAACAACCAACAAAACTTTTGGTTCTTTTCTATAAGAACTATGGCCTTCTTACTTTCCCATTGCACGAGGGAGTACGTAGGCCAAGATTCAAAAATCTTGTCGAACTCAAAATAATCTAAAAACAAATCCCTTCTTCCCTCTCCTTTCTTTAATAAGATTGCAAGTATCACACTAAACATTTAAACACACACGAGCTAAATGGTTCCCATCGAGTACGATGGATGTGAAGGGTGCTAATACCTTCCCCTTGCATAACTGAAACCCATACCCTTGTCTTGGTTGCGATGACCATTTCTTTAGCGGGTTTTATTCGATGTTTTCCCCATTCTTTTTGGAACAAATAAATCTTGATGGCGACTTCATTGTATTTATTTCTTTAGCCAGCTTACGACAATTGGCGACTTCACTGAGAACAAATTTCTAAGTGTGTCTAGCATAGTTTAGTTCTTTGTGTGTTTCTGTGATTTATTGTTTTCTTATTTACTTTCTCTTATTTATGTCTATAGATCTTGTTTTATTCTGATTCAATGATGTTGGGATCTTCAAGGGAGATATGTTACTATGAGAGAGACCCAATATACAAGTTTGAGAAAACATTTGGATTAGAATGGTGATGTGTAGTACTTAGACTTGCAAGTCATGTGTTTGCGAGCTGGTGCAAAGACCCTGCCTAGAGTAGATCCTGATGGGGATGTTATTGGCTTACACATGTGTCATATCATTAACATTGTTCAAAGGGATCATTGACTCTAGTTTCCCCATTAGGAACCTTTAAAATGAATCTTTGACTCCTTCGAACCAATGGTTGTGTAGTGCTTAACTAACAAGTCACGTGGTTTGTTAGTGGCCCGAAGACCTCACGTAAAGTCAATTTTGGCCGACGTACCTATGTCATGTCAAAATTATTGTCAAGTGGGACCTATCAATTTAGTAGCCCACTTATCAAAAAACATTAGTGAAGGTTTGAAAAACACAAGAAAGAGGGGTTTGAATTGGTTTTTTTTAAACTATTCTTTTAAATATATTCCCCTTTAAGTTAAAATGATTTTTCCTTCACTCTTGATAATAACAATAAGTAGGAACATGAAGTAAAGAACAATGCATGTTTATACTAGTTCACTTGTAAATTATCAAGCTAGTCTAGTCCACCCGCCAAGGTGATTTCGCCTCACTCAATCGAGGAGTTAATCCACTATAACCAAATTGATTACAATTTGCACAAGCTACCCGCAAGTGACTAACAACCTATAGACTCACAAGCTTTAGACTTCTTAAGGATTTAGGCCTACCCGGTCCCTTAAGGAATATCAACTAATAATCAACCTGATTATTACAATGCACAAGCTACCCGCAAGTGACTAACAACTTCTAAAACTCGCAAGCTCTAAACTTCTTAAGGATTCAGACCTACCTGGTCCCTTAAGGAATATCAAACAACAGTTTGTATACAAGTTTTGTTTACAAGAGTATTGCTTCTAAAATGCTGAGTATGTAAAACTATTTTATGAATAGTGGCTTAGAATGTGAAAGCAATAAAGAGCGCTTGCACGTGAAATATTTAGTAGTTCGCTATCTTTCTTTCTTAGTCTTCAAGCCTTTATATAGCCATTAACATAATGTATTCATTGAGGTATACTCTTGGAATTTCCAAAAACATTGGCAGCTTAAACAGTAACACGGGGGACAAGATCGTGCGATGCATCTGTCCTTTCATGATAGTGGAATGAAACCTTAATTGTACCATGTACTATTTGTACCATATTAATGTTATCTTCTTTCCTTATGCACTTCGGAGGCTTCTGCGAGCATGAGTTTAGAAGGGAGAACATAACATCAGGTTATCAGAACTTTAAGTGTTTAGAGTCTTTAGAACTGTGTCTTTAGAGTCTTCAACACTTGGTTATGAGAACCTTTTCTTCGAACCTTGTGTCTTATAACTTCAAGTCTTTAGAATATTTAGACCTTCTGTCTTTTAGAGTCTTCATCACTTAGTCTTCAGAACCCTTATCTTTAGAACTTCATAAATAGAAACACAAGCTTTTAGCATCTGGACATCAATAGAAACTTTGTCTTCAGATCTTCTAACTTTGTTTCTTGAATCACGTTGTCTTTAGAAATGTGAGTCTTCAGCATCTAGATGTAAGTAACAACTTATGTGTTAAAATCTTATGAATGGTTTCCTTAGAACATGTTGTCTTTACAAGCTTGAGTCTTCAGCATCTGGACATAAGTAACAACTTCTGTCTTCAGATCTTTTGAATGGTTTCTTCAGACAAATATCAGAGTTTACACTTCAGAGTCTTCTAAAGTGTCTTGCTAATGTTCAACAAAAATTGTGTAGCATAGAAGCAGAATCATTTCTCTTCTAATGTCTTGGCCACGCCATCCATCAGAAGCATAACCTATTTGTTAAGTACTCAACAATAACAAACATTAGTATACAAAAATTGTTCATACAATCATACTCATTTGTTATCATCAAAACTCAGAGATAATATTACAGAACCAAATCTTGTTCTTACAATCTCTCCCTTTTTTATGATGACAAAACTATGTATTTTGATGATACAATTTTGTACATATTATCATAATCAGTGAAATTTAGAAGCGTAAGAAATACTTAATCTTTTCTGATACTCCCTTTGAGTCAATGATTTGATGAAGATCGAATATCCTACCTCTGAACCATTTGAGTAAAAACTCCCCCTGGTTCTAATAGATCAGATATCGAGATCTTGAAAGTCTTGACTTTGGATTCCAATACACAAATTGAGATCTTGAGATATTTTCCATATCTTGAAAGTCTTGACTTTGGATTCCAATTGACTTTGAACTTTAATGTGACTTAGACATTTTCCAGATTCTCAATAGATTCTCAATTT